GACCTCCAAAAGTGCCATAGAATAAAATTTCCTATTAGGAAAAGTACTACACTTGATACATCGAAGTAAAATTTCTGGTAGACATTTTGTACACAGCATAGAAAAAAAAACACTGTAAAACCAATACATTCCTCGTTCGCTCAGAACCTAAAAAACCTAGTGCATCATCGATTTTTTATTTTAATTTAGTTCTTTTAATTTGTTTAAAAAGAACTTTTGGAAATCCAAAACAATCATCCAAATAAATTGAACCAAACCGACCAGAAATCTGACATTTTTTAAACCATGGCATAAAATATCTGATTATTTACCTATTTAATTGAAAAAGTGTCAAATAAAAACATACACACATTTTATTAGTCTAATAATATAAATATAAACTATAGCCTTTTCGCTACATTCGGAATCTAATATAAGAGGAATGGTTATCCTCACCGTTTTACCGCTCTTAGCCTTCACTTTTAATATAACACAAGAACATTTTTGTCAATACAGACTTTACGTTACGGAGACTACGACGATGCCTTAAGTAAAATAAGGTCGGTCGCTACTGCAGATATGTATTTTTTTAACTACGTATTTTATAATAATTTATAATGCTGTGCTGCACATATATATATATTATTATAACGTTATATTGTGAAGCGCGCAGAAGCTGTTTCGTTACATTTTTAAATAGTCATAATGGGCGTTCATTAGTGACCTGCATATGGTAGCGTGGACTCGACGCCTGGCGCATCAGTTATTAAAAAAAACGAACGTAAACGACTTTGGAAAAAAAAACAAACAAAAGAGCTGGAAAAGTGAGCGAGACTAACTAAATGGTATACATAGGTACTATAGGAGAAACGCGAACGAGAACCTGTAGGTATACAGCACACAAGGATGTGCAGATATTTTGAATGAGGATTCTTTTATTTCCACACAGGAATTTCTATCCTATAATTCTAAAAATTGTTGATTTTGAACAACCACTTAAAAAGAGAGTGTATAACATTATAACTATTTCAATATAATATTTGATTTAATTGAATCTAATTTTCAAACAAATGTTTTAAGTTTGTTAGACTTCAAATGTTTGACTGTAGAAACCGGACTTAAAACAACTCTAACTGTCGAAGTAAAAGCTAAAGCTAAAGTTCATGGTATTGAGAAAGTCACTAAAAGTGTCAAAATTTAGCATAAAAATATAAATACACAAAGTTGCAATAGCCTCAATTTTTAATAAAAATTTGAAAAAAAAATATCCTTTTAATGATACACACAATAGATATATAGTAATTTAGTGTACGCGTTCGCCGGTATTTAACGATTATAGTTTGTTTTTTTTTTCGACGAATAACCCCGCGAATTAGAGTTTATAAAAAGTGTTAACACCGTAAACTTCTACCACATAACTACACTCGGAAGTCGGAATTCCACAACATGCGGTATAAAGAAAGCAATTTCGCGAGCTGTTTTTGTGTCGTGCTCTGCAAGTGGCCGATACGCCATGCTGTTTATAATAATATATAGTATAATATTTTTTCGGAAATTTAATTAAATATTTTGTGTACAGCATTATACGCACTGTAACAACCTTCTTTTAATTCTTAAACGCCATGGCGGCTTTTGGCTTCCGAAGCAATTCTTCTCCATTAGTTCCTCCAATTTTTTATATACTCGTAGATTTCAGACTCACCGCTCACCAGTTGTAGATATTTTTTTTAATATTTTTGTTTCCAAATATAACCGACAGTAAATCAAAATGCAGTAATTTTTAGATTCTGAGTGGAGCGAAGAAGCTTATAGTTCCACAAAGATGTTTATTTTTTGTTTTTTTTTTTTTTATCTGTGCACAACTCTTCTATCAGAAGACTTGCTCAGATTTTTAAGTGTAGCACATTTTCTGAAAATAAATCGGTCTGAGGAAGTACTTTAAGGAGGTCGTTTTTCGATTTTCTCAATAGTTTTCTCATCAAATTTGAAAAATCGAAAAAAAAAAACGGGAAAATGTACGAAATATATTACTAAAATATTACGACTTTTTTTTTCCTATGCACAATTTTTCAACCAGAATTTTTGCTTCAAATTGTATTGATAACGATGTTTCTAAAAGGAAATTTCACTAAGGAGGTACTTTAAACAGGTAATTTTTGGATTTTATCGAGAGTTTTCTCAGCAAATATGAAAAACCGAAATAAAACATGAAAAAACCGGAAAAACGTAGGAAAATTGAGAAAATCGGTACAATATTAAACTAATATTATTAAAGAAAATATATAAAGCCTATTTAATTATTTTATTATATGTTGTTGACAAAGCATCACTATCAACTGAACTCCGCTCAGGATCGTTTTCTCGTAAACAATGATTTATCGCTGCTTACAAATATAAAAAAAATAATATCCTACCTTTTTAACTTCCTACCTACAACAGTGGTGCATCCATCAGCAGTGTCAGCTTTTTCTTTTTCTTATTAATTATTGTTCTACCATCTTATATTGCTGTTTTTAAGGGAGACTCAAGATATACGAAGTTCTTTACGTGTTCCAATCAATTTCTTTCAATTATTATAGATACCAAATAATAACCAGATTAGAAACATTATTAATAGACCATGGACGGCTATCATTCAAAAAATAATAATAATAATAATTTTTAAGAAAAAGTGATCAATAAATTAATTTTGCATTTACAGAAAAAATTTTAAAATTTCTGAAATGGAAACTTTTAGTAACAGGACCACACATCGATTGAAAAGCTATGATAGCTATATCATTTGATTCATACTACTTAGAATGAAATCTACACAATTTTGATTTTGTTTTTTTTTTTAATGCTTTTTTGAAATTTTAGATTGTTTTGTTTTTAGTTTTAAGTTTTTTTTTTACATTATTTTCCAGATTAACATACCTGTCCAGAAGCTGTCAACTGGCTGTCATCGTCAAATTTTTAAATATTTTTTTTTCCATAAATATTTTGTTTATATTTTATTTTATATGTATTTAATTGAAATGTTGAATATTTAATTAACTGCAATCTGTTATAGGTTGTTACAGGTTATAGGTATAATAGATGTATAATAAATAAAATACATTAAATACATTAAATTATAAAAATAAAACCTCTATATAGGTAATACGTCTAATATTAATTTTTGAAAATAGTTTAGTGTTTTTTTTTTCTTTTTTTTTAAGGGATTTTTATAGTTTTATACAAAATCCTAACTCTAGTAATTATTCATTGTTATCCGGATTATACGGATTGTTACTATCCTAGTCTAGCTAAATTTTGGATTAAACAGGAATAAAATGCTCAGCACTAGTTTATAGCTCTCCAAAATATTGACTAAGTAATAGATATTTTAATAATCAAGGGGGAAGAGTGATTCATTAGTGAGCTCAAAAATCATTATTACCCCTATGATGAGGTGGCTCACCAAATTTAGTTTTCAACTGAGAATCATATGTTTATCTTTAAAACTTAGCATTTAGGGTTTACAACATAGTTATAGATATGAGTTTATTACTTTCACCGGAAAAACGGTATCCTGTATATTTTACAAATTAAATATTCTACCACCACTACCACCGTTATTATTAAATTATAATAAGTCCTGGGATATTGATTTTTTTTTTTTATATGTTTATATATGATATTCCGGTAGATTTACATTCTGGAGTTTCTGTCAAACTCTAAATTAACTTTTGTATTTATAATGATATTATTTAGGTATATAGGTAGGTAGGTATGTATTTTTTAAACTCGCGGTGTTGCTGTATACCAACATAAATGTATAATATATTATATAGGACATAGGTACGAGTATATAATATAACGTTTTTACCTTTATTCCCCAGGGCCACGTTTTAAAAAAAAAAAAAAAATGAAAAATACATGAGAATGAATCCAAGGCAGAAAGACACAGAGAGAGAAAGAGAGAAATAGTATGCGTCGCGGACACAACATAATAATAATATCATCATCATCATTATCGTGTGTATAATTTAAATTATGTTTAATTTTTAAAAAACCGCATAATGCTAGTAATTGTTTTTGTTATGTGAAACAGTGAAATCTGAATATTTGTTATCTTCGCGTTAAATGAATCACATTTATTAAATAGTAATTTCCCGGTGGGCCTCTGTTAGTTATGAGACTCTTGTCACTTGGTTTCAAGGCCTAATTTTAAGTTTGTTTTTTTTTTTTTTTTTTTTTTAAAGGGAGAATGATTTACATTTCGGAGCACTTAAATTCAATTCCCGGAAAATATCCCAATCCGCCACTGTGACATACCGTGGGATCGAAAAGACGCATCTTAGTAAAAGTAAATCAATAACGGCTTCTTCGCTACACTAGGAATCTTAAACAAAGTACTTAAGTACAATTTTTCATTATACATAGACCATAGAATTGAATTATTGCCAATCTCAATCAATCTCAATGTTTAATACAATATCAATAATATATTTTTCGAGAGTCTGTTTGTATTCAATTAATTAACTAACTGTATGTACTATGTATATGTCGCATCCACTTAGTGAAATCACTATTTTCACGAACTGAATTTCCACGTAGTGAAATTCGTCCAGATCGTGAATTTTAACGAGAATTCATTATATGGACATCCATTTCACGAAATGGACAATACCTACACCATTTATTTAACAATAAATTATATTATAAACTACTATACTTTTCTTATGAACAAAAATATAACGATACATTTTATTTTTCATAAACCATACCCGTTCAGATAAACCACACTTTTCTAAATTAATAAAGATTAAATATAATAATATTACAAGCAATAATAGTCGTATAAGACTATGAGATATCAATTTTAATTTCGGTAATTCAATATCCGATATCAAATAAATGTTTCCTTATCGGATGACGGTCGACGGATACCTAATGTAACTTCTAAATTGTTCAAAATATAAAATTTGGTTAGTGTTTGTGTGTTATGCATGTAACGCAGGTACTATTGTGCTTATAGTTTTCAATTTCAAATAAAAATGGAAGAAAGGAACGCATTTTATGAAAAAATGGATAAATATTATAAATTTAAATCTACAAATTTAAATTTTGTTCATTTTCAAAAAAATAGTTCATTTCACCGAACAATTGGACGTAGCCCTTATAAAGCTTTATTTGGGAATGACCCAAACATTAGACTAAGGACATCAAATTTGCCATCTGATCTTTTAAAAAAATTAATAACAGAAGAAGACCTCAAACATATATCTCAAATAAAGAAAATTAAAAAACGTTCGATTGCCTGCAGTATTTGTAAAGCTAAAAATAATGAAATTATTTGTCAATTATGCAATTCAAGTAAAAAAAATACAAATTCGTCGTGAACGTGGACATGAAGGTCAAATTATAACTGTACAGAAAATGATCAAAGTAGATAATAAAATACAGTTATAATATACTTTTACTTTTTAGATCTTAATTTAAATTTATTTTTAACAGGGAAACAAAAAAAGAACTGACGATTTTGAAGTTATTCAGTGCGTTTTATTCGATGTACCGAAAGTTAATAGGGGACCTACAGATCCTCTATACATAATTTGTGTAATCACAGACAAAATAAAAGAAAATGATTGTATAAAATTGGAACAAAATATGGTTTACTTAAAGGATGGTTTAGTAGAGAATATTAGAAAAAATCAACAACTCAATTTGTCACTACTGATCAAGTTCATAAAAATATTGAATTTTCAGCACGAGAAATAATTTTAAAAAATTCAGAAGTGAAAGGATTTTTGTCTTAAGGCAAAAACTCGTTGCCAATCAAGTAGGTGTGTTTGTTTCAAAAATAATATTCTATGTAACAGTCGATATGTAACTGTCATAATCAATCGTCATGTAAAAATAAATAATAAAGAAGAAAAATATATAGGAATAGTTTATCAATTATTGTTTAAATCAAATTAAATATCAAATAAAAAAAATAATTTAAAAATATGGTTTAAGACAATAAATAAAAGTATAGTAGTTTATAATATAATTTATTGTTAAATAAAAAATTTTGTTTCGTAATAATCACACAAAGTGTACAATAAGTGTAGGTATTGTCCATATCATGAAATGGATGTCCATATAATGTATTTTCGTCAAATTCACGATCTAAACGAATTTCACTGAATGGATATCCAGTTCGTGAAAATGGCGATTTCACTAAGTGGATGCGATATACACAGTCTGTCAAATAATTTTTAAATATCAAATCATTTGTAATAAGTTACGTTGGTATATTATTATGTATTGAGCACAGCTGCTGCTGTTGTGCTAATAACGTGACGTTTTGATAAAATTTAATTATAATTTTAAAAATCTCCGTTCCACGCGCGGGATGCAATCAGTTTTATAACAAACAAACAAAAAACTAGGGTAAACATGGCGGCGGCGTATAGTTTATAAATAAATTAAAATATACTCGACTCGAAAATATACATTTTCGAAAATCTCCCCGGTTTGCAGTTTACATAACATATTATTATCATTATTTTTTTATTAACTCGATTTTTTCGTTTCGCGTGGTACCTACACACTAAAATTGCATTGTGTCGTTGAATATAAAATTTAAAAAAACAGCCAACATACACTTCACACCGTGGGTAGGTGACTATTGTAGTCAAGAAGTTAGGGTAAAGTAAGATGTATAGAATAATTTAATTTATACCTTTACACGAAAAACGATTCTGAATATAATTCGTTAAGATAAATTCAAATTGAAAATAGTACTAAGAGGCGGCTTCATTGTCGCTAACATTTATTTTCTCTGTTTGTCTCGCACGTTGTATAGCAACAAAGGCATTCTGTATTTCCGCAATTGTAAAATAAAATTATTATTGAAATCCATTCGTCAGTAACATTAAACAGTCAACAAATATTATGTATAGGAAATATTGATATTTTGAGCCTCCCTAAACTCTAAAATGAAACGCGCGTAGTCGTCTCGGCGTTAACTTTTTGGTAGTCTATGAAATTCGTTCACTGGTTAAATCTACGAACCCCTACGAACATATTTTCTGGATTGGTTTAATTATATTAAGGTCAAAAGTCCCGAGTTTATGCAACGAAATAATTCTATTATTATTATACAAGTTGATTTACACGTTTGCTTTCCCTTTGAGTTTCATACTAAAACTCGAACAGCCGTTTTTCAGCTGCATTATAGTTATTAATATGATCAAACTTTTCGAATTTACGGTGTCTCAATCCATCGTATAACAAACCAGCACTGTTACCGCCCCAATATAAACCCACACGAATTTTCGACTATTTTCACCGAACTTCAGACGATATTTTGGGTACTAACCGTTTGTAAATTTAAATTTACTCACGTCGCCGTCAGGCTCGGAAATCATTTATGTTCGCGCAGAAATTTCTTGTAGTTATGATCGCAGGAGTTAATAAATTTTCGTCAAAACACACTAAAGTTGTATTACGCCCAGTGACAGCCAAATATTTTTATCATGGGATGAGGGAGGGATAAGGATAATTTTTGAAAACTATTATTATTTACATATTTGTTTTTATAACTATAAGATATAATACAATAAACAGAGTGATTTTTTTAAACATTCTCACCCTATTTGTACCATTAAATTATGTATAAATTCAAATTCTGATTTTTGGAATTTTTAAGTGCAGAACGACGATATTTTTACACACACAGATTTTTCAAAACATTTAAAGAGAATCCTGTGCGCTGATAACAACTTTAATTTTTCAAATAATAACCTACATGTTTTGAAGTAAATGATCAACCAGATGATTTTTTTGAAAATATTGACGTATTGTAATTGAAATTTAAACGAAAAGTTTCTGAGTTATTCTGCATTAAATATGATTGGATTGGATATCGACCGTTTCACAGGATTCATGTATTGACGAATTCGTGTTTTGAATCGTACAATCATTAGTTATTAATTTATTACCATTTAGTATTCAAAGTGAAATAACTCAGACACTTCTTCAATTACAATACGTCAGAATTTTCAGAATTATCATCGGATTGAAAATTTACATTAAAACATGTAGGTTCCCGTTTCAAAAAACTTAAGTTGATACTGTTACAGGATCCTCCTTAAATATTGCCAAAAATCTAAGTATGTGAAAATATGGGGTGAGTGTGATTAAAAATCATCCTGTATGTTATTATAAATATTTAAGAAAAATTAGATTATAGCAGGGGATATACCCCTCATTTCTCTCTGTTCGATCACCTCTGATTACACCTTTACCTAATACGTCTGTTGCGATTTATTTATTTTTTTGATTTTTGTTTCCGTTCTTTTTATTGGACCTTACACTGTTCAGAATGAGTCTGCGATTGCGGAAACCGCATCCGAATATTAGGATAATATTTTATGTATACACACACATGTAGGTCGTGCACGTGTCTTTGATGTTTCCCGGACATTGTAAAGATACCTCGTAGACCAAATCATAATGGTAACCGAAGCTCACGTATCCAAACCCCATGGGAATATTATCCGCCGCGAAAGTAGTACTAAAATTGGATAAAATGACGTTGAGCGAGATTTTGGAGTTTATCACTCCGTAAAGATTTTGAATCCCGCAGTGGAAAACGCACGCAATAATATCATATTTTTATTATTCGAGTTAGTTCTGCGGTAGTTGTTCTAAACAATTCCTGGTGGGTGGGGGGAAGGAAAAAATATTTTGCACGAAAAACATACACATCCCACTTTTTTCCATTAATATATAGGTACCTACACGAGAAATAATTTAATGTGGTATAAAGTCTATACCACATTTCTATAATAAATGTCTATACTATAGATATTACCAACGATTTATATTCTTTATTCTTTGCATACAAATAAGATGTTGATAAAAAGAAAAAACTAAAAACATGATAAAGTAGCTATTTTTGTAGTATGGCATGATAGGGCATCGCCAAATAAGTGATAACTGGTTGCATTGTAACCGGTTCACAACCATAGTTTGTACTATAGATGATCCCTCCCCTCACTAGTAAAACCACCAGGATAATTTGAGTTTTCTAAAGCAAAATGTAAGCAATAAGGGCCTATGGCAATAACATACTGAAGGCACTAAAATATCAGCTGCAATTGTAAGTGCAGTACAGTACATTGTACAGTGACCAGTAGATAAATAAAAATATAATTTTAAATAATGTTATGTTTTAATTTTTAATTGGAATTACCGAACATTTACATCAAATGTGGCACAAAAAAGGGAGGGGGCGTATATCACTCTACTCTCAGGCATTCATTTTCTCTCCACGACCCTGAATCGGAATGCCAATTTCATGTATTCAAAGGTAAACACAAACGCAACATGATATATGATATGAAACAGGAAAATGAGGACTGTACATTTTGCTGTTATTTGTTTGCGTGTGCACAAATTTTAAGAGAAATACGGTCGAAATCACTTCGCGTGTATAATAATTTATTGCACCTGCGATTTTCGATGCGAGTGTAAATTATAACCACAAAATGTCACGGGACCACAGTACAGATACCTAATAATAATGTCTTTCGTGTAAGTATCTTATTCTCAAAACCGCCGAAACGCTGTTGAAAACGTTGGCTTCTACTTCTATCGTACAAGTTTCAGTAATAAAAAATAAAAAATATGGCGTTAAAAAACTCATTATAACTCTTTCCTCCTTTCGTTTGAATTTTTAGGCAATTTTGATTCCACTGGTTTGTATGTTGTTTTCTAGGAAAGAAACTGAAAACTCGTAGTAAAAGTGCGATTGGTTTTTATAATACATTCGAGTCTTATTCGTTATGATTATTACTGAACTCTAGTTCAGTATTCTAACATTAAAACAAACTGTTACGACAAATATTTAACTGAAGCTATAACAATCCCATACAAAAAAAGTGCACTCTAAAATACTCGTGAAAAATTCCCATCTTTTAAGATACGATACAAACTATTTTGACCATTTTATATAATTTTACATTCTCAATCGCAACACTCAAAATCTCAAAGATGCAATAAGCAAGTATTATAAATTGTTACGGTAAGTTGTTTTCATTATGTCAAAATTTCTATTAAATCATATTACCCGTTGATACCCAATCCGTTTCACGAAACTTTCACGCCATCTGTCTAAAATTGTGTAAAATTATCGACTGGGGACGTAATAACAATAATATTTTAATTTTTTGTATTCCAAATGTTGAGATACATTTCGAATCGACGGTGATAAAATAAATGTACGCGGGAACACGATTTAAACCGGACCCGACACGTCGAGAGCCTCTCGAAATTCTTAATAACGTTTAGTCGCTACTGATCAAAAGTATATAGACTTTTACAGTCGCCTCTGCAAAAGTTTTTTACAAAGTTTTCCATAAAATTAATCCTCTCATAAAATATTTCACGCATTTAAATTATTCGTCAATAAATTATAACGTTTGGAATCGCACTTTAAAAACAAAACAAAAAACAAAAAATGTTTTTCCTGCCTTTAAATATGAATTCGATTCGTCTTTGTGCGTGCGTAATTTTTCGTTTAAAACAATCAACAAACCCATTGGTAAATATTGTATATAAGTAAGTACTCTACTAGATACATCACTAAATATAACATTATATTATATCTACACACAGAAGTGGTTTTGATAAATGTTTAATATTTTTATTTTTTTTTTTATTTAATACATAAGTACATCCATTTGATAATAAGATATAAATAAAATGTACTATACTCGTGGTTAAGCTATAGTGCGTATAAAAAACGATTAAATTATTCATTTTCCGCAGACTCTGGAAATTCTCCCTCTTTTTTTCCATGTATTATTTATTTATTTCTCGTGTTTTTTGCCGACCGGACGATTTTACGTCTAGGTCTAATGGGTATACACAAATTGCAGTATCCCGAAATCATCCGGCCAGGTTTACAAGTTTTTATTTCACTTTTTGCGCACACCTTCCACGCACCTCCCGGGCTTCTTTGTATTTTCCCGTTGTCCTGTAAAATAATAAAGTGGAACTGTACCTCGGACCAACGAAATTACAAGTCTTAGTATACGTATATTCACACAGTTAAACCTCAAAAACATTTTTAAAAAAAAAACTATTTGCTTATATATTTTATGCAAAAGCGAAATGGAATCGCTATTTTTCCTTATTTTCTCCACTGGATCTTACATAATATATGCAGGGTATTGGTTTTATCATATCCACGAAGATTTTGAGTATAAATTTGATTTAACTTTTTCTCAGATATTATATGATCGTATCGTACTAAATTATTATAATAAAATCGCATTAAGCGTTTTATTATATAAAATATGGTCTTCAGATACTCGTAAATTATAATTTTTGTCGATGGACATTGTCTATATTATTTTCGAGTAATTTTTTGAGACTCCGTTTCACCGCAACCTATTGATATGAAAAAAAAAACCATCGAAGAACTCATTAGGTATTATAAAAATATTCTTCACTAAACAATAAATAACGGAAACACAAACAATATAAAATCCCAGATTCGCCTTGATAGATAAAAGCGATAGAAGAAAAAGCGCCATAGACAGCGGGACCGGGGATTTTATATTCATTCGATGCTCGATTACCGGAGTGAACGAACGAAGCCAGGAATATTTTCAACTGGAGTAAAAATGGTAAAAACTATTTAACTGTTAGAATTGTTTAAAACAATTGTTATTCCTGATTTTACGATCATTCGGTCCAGAGAAAGCAGATAGAAGTGTTCAAAAGTAGCCAGAAAAAGATAGGTATATATGTATGACACTATTGTGTCCGTTACACATATAAACGCAAATAGTTTCTATTTTTGGTGAACATTCGATAAAAACGGAATAATAAAACGGATTCTCCGTGTGCGGTTGACACTCGGGAGTGGGTTGAAAAACGTCAATTCGCAAAAATTTTTTTTTTTTTCTTCCAATGGCTGTTATTCACGATGTCCGAGTCCGAGCGACAGCGCTAAAAGATTTATTTTCATAAATTATTAGGCAAGTTTCACGGGTAAAACGGAAACGCATACACTTCTCGTCGTATAGTAATACCGGTGACTAGGTTTTTTTTTTTTTTTTTCTTAAATTACTTTTTTGGCACGGCAGCGACTTGGCGTTCATTAATAATGATTCGTTTCGTAAGGGGAGAGGGAGGGGGAGGGATACAAAAAAAAAAAGATGCGATTTCGAAATAAAACTACACTCGCAGGTGTAATAAATGTTTAACTTTTATTAAAAATGATTACTGGCACGTATCGCGGCCGCGTCGTTTTATTACGACATTTATTTTGGCCACTCGTTACAAAATAATAATAATATATTTCGTGTGTTAGTCGATGACATCGTATACGGTTACCATGAACAGGGATACGTTCATCACGTCGACGGCCAAAACGATCGCGGCGTATCCGTATTCGTCAACGGACAAATCTTCCTCCTGATTGCTCGCAATGTGCTGCGTGTTCATAGCCAGATACTATAATAATTATAATATAAAATTGAATTTTTTTTTTTTTTTTTTTCCGATAAGTTCTCATCAATTCCGAAAAAACCGTCCGGCACGCCACTACCACGACACGACAAAGCCTCTAACAAGCCAATGTAACGGGAATCATGTTTTTGACGTCGAACTGCGGCGGTTTGGTTCCGTTTACATCGCCAGTTATTAATAATAGGTACTGTGATATACCGTATAATTATATATTTGAAACCCGCATTTTATCGGCAACAATATTATTTGCAGCCCGAATCGGATATTTACCTAATTTATACGCGTTCCGGTCGAAACCGTTAAAACCGAACAGGAAACATTTTGCCGTGTCTATATACTCTGGCCGCCTAAGTATAGTGGGTAACCCGACAAAGTTTAGCGCGCTGGCCGAACGGGACGCGCCGCAAAGTTTTGCTAAATATATAATCATATTGTTTAATACGCGTCAAGAATAAATGAATAAGCCGTGAGTCCGTGCGGCGATAGCGAAACATTGCAGCATATTACTTAAAAGTTGTCGTTGCCCGTGAATAATTATTATTTCGAACGTGGTCGGATAAAATTATCATCATGGTTCCGAGACACTATTATAGCGTTGTGTCCATAGTTTTTCGGCTCGACACAAAATCTAGCAGTCTGTCAGTCCGTTTATGTCGCGTTACAAAGAGTTAATTTATGAAATTTAAAAGTGCTTTATTTCATAAAAAAATTTTCAATACTGGTCTTTTAAATTTTTTTTTTTTCACATTTACTACTTTGTGATTACGTACGCCACTGAAAAACACTATTTCGATTCTTCAAGCGGTTTTCAAAGTAATAAAGAAAAATCGGGAAAAAACGTAGAAAGAACGTGAAAACTAAAGAAAATAATGCTTTTATTATTTTCAATTTTGTTTTAAATATTCGGAACGAATCGAGGGATCTATTGATTTTACTATAATGTGTGCTTTGTGTCTTCTTTTTTTTGTTTTTTGTATCTGTGAACAACTTTTCTACCAGAAATTTTGCGCCTTTATTTTACCCCCCGGTAATTTTATCTAGTTGGTACATCGAAGAAGTCATTTTTTGATTTTTTTTTTTTTTTTTAAACTACGGTGCCACGATTTCACGATTTTTTGAAATGAGTTTTTTGCTTAATATATTTTTTCAAAAGCGTTTTAAGATCAAATTTTGGCGAAAATCGTATAAATTACGGCATTTCAAAATATGTCTTACCGAACTTCACTCCGAATTGCTTTTCTTTAATGTATTTCTTTGCGTACAGATATAAGTTAAATAACAACTTTATGTATCTTACCTTTCAACTTACTTACTACAATAGTAACTGCACCCGTTCCTAGTATCAGCTCTTTCTTTTTTTTTATTAATTATTATTCCAACATCTTATATTGCTGTTATTAAGAGAGACCCAAGAAACAAGAAGTTATTTACATGTTTAAATCAACGTCTTCCAATTGTAATACCAAATAATAACCATATCAGAAATATTGTCGTTAAACTATTGACCATGAACGGTCGGACGGTCGTTATTCAAAAAAAATTTTTAAAAAAAATGTCAAATAAATTAATTACGCATTTACACGATATAAGTATTTATAAAACCCGTATAATTATGGATAATCAAAAGGAGTTAAAAGGAGTAATTAAAAAATGGAATATTTTAACTTTCGGAGAAATTAAAATTGAAAATTGAGAAAGTCGATCTCAAGTAACCTTGAAGATTAATTTTAATCTGCGTTTAGAATTCTTATCGCTTCACTTGATCAATCAGTATGTTGTAAATAGAACCCATCTAAATTCTTATGTTACACGTGTATAAGACAAAGACAGAAAATAACCATTTCCAATCCCTTTAAACTAAATATAGTAATAAAATTAAGAATGAATGAAATTATAAAATAATTTAATTAATTCTACTATCTGAACAAGTAGATAGTTTCTTAATGAAAATAAAGTGTTGAATAATATGACTTTACAAACAAATAGGTAACTAAAAAAAATTTGAATCTCACTTCTACCCCCCCCCCCAATCGCCCCTGTAATACATGTGTAATTAATAATACACATGATTTGTTTGATTGAACCAGATTCCACGTTTCACATTTCACATTGCTCTTCTATGTTATTATTCATTAATCTGATCACGAATAAATTGAACGGATCCACATAACAGTATAACACCACATTCTGTTCTATATATTTGAACAGCCTTAAATTGCATTTGGATAGGCGCGATACGTCTCTCCAGTACCCCTCCTCCTCTGGGATTAGATTTCTCGTATAAAACAACAAATGGGAAGATAAAAAACAACTGACAATTTTGGTTTGTATAATTATCCCGTACAGAACTGACAACTTTAGAGTTTAATTCTGAAAAATGTTTATTTCTTATAATCAGAATATTTTTAGTGTGAAGGAATAAAAATAATAATTCATGAAATTTCAAAAATATCAATTTTGATTAGGGAAGGGGGTCTTCTAATCTGTCTAGCCAGCTACCCCTGAATTTCGGTTTATCTTAAATATGTCGTTAAAAATTCTGAAAATAATCTTGCAAATGTATGCGTATGCGTGCTACATATCGGTGTTATTTTTCCCATGGGGAGAGTGAATACTATCCAAACTAACATATACACGCATAACATAATTAATTTTTCGGATGTTTATATAAACCATAACAACGTGGAAATAATTACCTACTATTATTATTTTTTACTTTTTTTTGGCGGAAAACTCGAACAAATGTAGTTAACATAATTAATACTCTGCTATTATTTCGACTACGTGTTGTAAAACAAAAAAAGATTAATTTATTAAGTGTACATCAAAGTTTAGGGAATTGTGGTAGGTTGCTTTAAGAAGTTTCGGGTCTATTATCGCCTTCGCTCGTCGCGGTAACGGTGCTGCACTTCTTGTGCTCACGCCGTAACACCGCGGAACTATATAATTTGACATGACGAAATTTCATCGTATTATATTACATTTAGGAACATAATATCTTGAAATCACTATAAATTAACGGTACAATATCAACAGATTTTTTTAAAAATAAATCTGATGTCCTTCGTTTTGTAGGCAAGTCATTGTTGGATAGACCCGTCATTATATTTGTAAGAGCTAATCGTGTATTTTATAAAAAAATTAATTACTGATTTCTGATTCGATCAGGTCAAGACCTCAAAAGTGAAATGGAATGGGGTACCAAAAATAATACGGATCTTTTAGTTTTGTTTGTAGTAGAGGTCAAGAAGTAATCTATTAATTATTATATTCAAATACTCAAAATAAAGTGCAGTTTCGTTTCCTCAGTAAAAATCGTTTTAAGTAAGGTATAAGTAGTAAAAAATTTCTAAAAGTTTTGTGTAATACATAGTTGAACGACTTGAATAATATGGGTAGGAGATTTCGTTTCACTAGACTTTTGAAATTATTAACAAAATTGTTAATCAACCACGTAATAAATCAACTGATATCTTTGCAATTTTGCCGAGTTCTCGTACACAAATTATACTCATATTACCAACTTTTAGCAAAACATCAGCGGTTTTCCGTTGTTTCAATTATTATCATAATTATATTATATTTTTGCTTACAGCTGTGTAAACGACCGCGAAGGCGAGTCCCAAGCCGAGCTGTCCGGACCGGAACCGAACGAACACGTTAGCCAACGTCAAATACGTGACGAACCATGAAACGCCGACAACCGGCCACATGATGCATAAGAGATATTTGAGCAGATGGTTGTGATCACACTAAAACGACGATAATGAAACTAAAGTGAAATATTATACCACCTAGTTTAAAAATAAATTTGTATTAAGTATACGAGGTAGGATCCGAAATTCCCCAGTCTGTTTGAATAACGCACTAACAGGGGGTCGAATGATAGCGGGCAATAGCTCTCCCAGGATGATAACAAAGATAATTTCAAAAATAAAAACTATAAATTATTAAAACTTAATTTCAATACCAAAAATTGTATGACCTTGGACCTTGGAAACTTCTTTTGTAGATTCGGAGTTTAAATGAAACTATTATGTTTCGAAGTTAGTATACTTGGATCTCAATTTTTTAGGCCGTTTTCTTATCGTCTCGGTTGGTTTTGGTATCACTGACTCCTGTGACTTTCCCTAAGCATATTTTCTGATTTATAGATTCTATATAATCTTATTCGTTTTAATATAACTGATATATTTGTAAAATAAGTTTTTCATGTTAGCGATTTTGTAATAAACCCAAAAGAAGACAAACTTAAAGAGCTTTTTAGAAGGAGAGATGTTAAGAAAAATGTTTGCTTCCATTGTGATGAAAAAAATCTAGTTGGCGGAAAAATGCAACATTTTATTGATCACATTCCAAAAATTGTAACTGAAAAGCTACAGGTCCGCTTAGTGCATCTGAAACTTAGCAGGTACAACTTTCGACATGCGCCATGTATTATGTTGTATTTTTCTGTGAAATAAGGTTATGCCATAACAACAAATAAAAAAACTTCTCTAATCCTCCCCACCAAAAAAAGCTCATCAAACGGATCTTTTTTTGAATTCGTTAAAAAATAGCTAAATACGAAAAACCAATTTCGCATAAATATAGATTACAACAGAGAAGGTTATAGAGAATCTACAAAAACATATATGCCCAGAAAAAGCCACGTAAGTTAATGATGTGAATCTTGGCTCAGTAGCTACGATTGGTATCACTTTTCGACGCTCTGTTGGTACGCAATTCAAACAGTCTAAGAACTTTTTGATCACACTTTGTATTGCTGAACAATTTTTCACGGTAATTTTTGAAACTTTTTAAAATGCTTATGATTGAAAAAAAGTCTTGTAATATGCAAGATTGCTTTGTCAGACATTCGGTCTTCTATAACTAAATAAAAAATTAAATGCACACATCCGTTATCGTTACGCGGGTCGTATTCGAGATGTGGCAAAAAAACTGTTATAAAATATGTGAAAATATTATTAATGCGCTTTCTACCATTTGCACGCTGAAAGAAAAAAATACCATTGCGAGAGTTTTAAACGGTTGAATAACTCTTAAAACTCGTGGCTCGTGACATTTCGGAATAATGAGCAAATTACTTTTGTTTGCATAGTTACCTACGTTATTAAGCTGAAGATCAATACGAAATTTGCGTCACATAAACATTAAACAAAACCACAATATTACAAAGAACTTTGGATACATCAGTGTGTCACTATTTTCACTCACTGGAAATAGATTGGCTATCAGTGTCACAAAAGTGACCGCGATGAACACGTACAGCCAAGTCGTCAAGAGCAGCACGTGCCCGGACGAATCGTACGACTGTGACGTGCAAGCGACCGTAGAGCTCAGAGCACCGTACTAAACAATATACAATATTATATGATTTACAATACGAATTTGAAAAAAAATATCGAACAAATAATAAATCATAATATCATTAATCATTTGTATTTCTTGGGGGGGAAAAACACTCATGCGCAGCACAGACGCTCGTTGGTTTTCAACAACAATGCCGATGCGTTTTGTTGTTCAATAAAGAAACTATATTTGAAGCAGTAAAAACGGTCAAAACTCTTCGTTTGAAAGACCACTGCCGGTTACTTTACCTGCGGATCGATCAAATAAAGTTGGGCGGAAACTATATTTTTAGTCCCAGTGAATAAAGGTATGTATGAGGTATGCCTCAATATATGTACGCCCAGAGGGATAGATATTTCAGTACTTAAAATGTACATGATTAATATTATAATTGTTATATGAAACTAAATAGATACAATTTCGCTTACCATGACTAGGAGGAGCAAATAATTCCACGGTACCAGTCGGCCGGTCGCTTGGCGACAGCAGCAGCACAACGTGAGGTATACGATTACGAAAACGAACCTTAAAAAATAATTGATGATAAAAAAAAAAAATGAACGGGAGCTGTTGTTGAAGGTGAGAAGATAAGGCGTATAGTTATTTAATTGATAAATGTTCGTAATAATAAATCGTTTTTAACATGTAACGAAAACCGATTTTGAACAATGTTCGGTGAAATATGTATTGATAAAAAAAATCGAATATTGTGTTTATTCATGACAATAAAATAAATTATTGTTAATTATTCGAGCTTTTTTCTTTTTAAATTTTTGAGCGTTTTTATGAAGCCAAAAAGTTTTATCAACATAAATCGAAAAATAAAACTCGAAATCCAGCGTTTATTTATGATTTTCGTCAAAATTTAAACTTTTAACGCTACATATTTTCAATATTTGTATAACACCATAAGACAAATTCATGATACTAGTGTTCAATTTTTGAATATATTTGAAATGACAAAAATGTATATCCACATAAGACCAATAAAAACTCGAAAATTAAAAAAAAAAAAATACTATGAATAGTTAGCAATCAATAGAACGGTTTGAACATTCCTATCACTTATAGAAAGGTCAAATATAAATATTCTGTGGATATTTCAGATCTCTGTGATTATTTTTACCTAGCTAAATTGCAATAATAGAAAAACATCAAAAATAACAGAAATCGTTTTTTCCCCGATTTTTTCCAATATTATTAAAAAGTCTACTGAGAAAATCATAAAGTGACCTCCCCACAACGTGCCAACTGGTTAAAATTACTAAAAACCACCTATGAAGTTGATAACTGGAACAATATTCCTGGTCTTCTGGTCTAACAATATTTCAGTTCAGACATATTATATTATATAGTAAAACCGACTGCATTCCTCACAGCGCTTAGAACCTAAAAGCCTGTTTAAATACTCCTTTTCAAATAATGGGATGTATTCGGACCTGATATATAATGTCTGCGCAAAAAGTTCAAATCGTAATTTATTGTACATATTATAATTATTATGTAAATTTGGTCGCCTAATATTATTATTTGGTAACGTTCAAAACAATATTATAATAATATGTAAATCTCTAAAATCACAATATTATCGTTTCGACGTCGTTACTACGAGTTGCCAAGGAACGAATAATTTATTCTATACGTTTTGTGATCGAACCGTATTAAAAAATTAAAAATAATATTAATAAAATACTTACAAAGATGTTGAAAATATTATCCACCAGTAATTGCGCAGAAAACTGTTCCCGATATCACTATGTAAAAACAAGAAAAATATGATAAGACAGTTTTTCCCGATAATCGGCCATTTTAAACTATAGATTGTAAATTAAAAATAATATTTAAATCTAGACCACGGGATATAACTATAGCGTGAAAGCGGTTTTCGCTATCATACACGTTAGTTAACTGTAATAAAAGACGATAGCTATAACGTGGTGATACTAGAATACACTACAGGTGATTTTTTTTTATCATCAACCAGCAATTATCTCAGAGGATTTTAAGTGAATTTCACTTCTATTTTTTCTAATCATTATCGTTTAATATTTAATTTAAAACCATTTTTAATTTTTAAAAAAATAAATACTTTTGAACCCCGCTCCCTTTGATTCAGATTTGAATATAGAATATTTGTCTAGAATTTTTGACATGCATAACACTAATATCAGATTTCCCGTTTATGAGTTACAACAGTTTAAAGTTTAGACCGGAGGAGTAGGAAAGGATAATTAATTGTCTATCCTATAGCCCTTCCCTACTCCTCCGGTCTAAACTTTAAACTGTTGTAACTCATAAACGGTAAATCTGATATTAGTGTTATGCAAATCAAAATTTCAAGAAAAATATTCTCTATTTAAGGCTGTGTTCAAAAGAGGGGTTCTTATTTGAAAATCAAAAGTATGTACTGTTCTTCTTACATCACGACATCGATAACATAAAATATAGACATTTTTAATTTATGTAGGTAATCGGATGTAATAATATTATACAAATAATTTTTAATTTACAAACTATGTACGTTGGCAACAACGGAAGAAAAACGGAATAACACTATTCCACTCAGAATCATTTGTTCGTTTACAAAGATTTGTCATAGTATACAGATATACAGTATATTATAAACTAAATTACCCCGTATGCTTTACCTTCCCGACTATTTTTTTTTACTCGACTGTTAATCGGTGCTTATATTTTAAAAAAGAAGACAGATGATTAAATAAATACTTTATGTTGTAGAGCGTTTTTCCCATTACGTTTTTAACAGCTAGTGTACGTACGATTTTGTTTTTGTAGTAATTTAGTGAAAACTAATCGTAGAGGCCGGAAATGTTACCGAAAACGTAATACTCGAATGTTAACACACCTGTAATAAATAGTTATTTCCAGGTATGGTAGAATTTTAAAAACGTTCTAATTACTTTTCAGTTATAGTCATTTGAAACAATTGTGTTTTCTAGATTTTCAATTGATTTTTTTTTGTAATAAAAAATTGTTTTGGTTCTGCTATTAATACTCCTAGAATATTAAAATATTTAATATTTATTACAATACAATCGACGAATTCGTGTAAATGCCATTATTTTATGCCTAACCCACCTAACCCGGAGAAACTTTTTATCGTTAAATCGCGCGCGAAGCACTTAATTGAGCAGGAAAATATAGACGGAAAATTTAAGTTTAGGAAATATCACTGTACAGTAATTATATATGTATATAGGTAACGAATCATCAAAAGAATTATTTATGTTCCGCTCTCGCACACGCGGTATCGGCGCGATAACAATATTAGTAATATATATATATTGTAATAATATTACTATGCTTTCGAATATAGATTGGCGAGCGACGAAAGTTCGCTCGAGTGTTATTATTATTATTATTATTATAACGCAATTAAATTGTTCTGTAGCCGGATTTGATTATTTTGACACGGAAATAAATTTATCGGGTCGCTTTAAACGAGTTCAAAGCGACCTGCGGTGGTGGCGTTTCCGGAATTAAAGGGAAGGAGCGAAAGGACGGATTTGTCGAGAGAGCGTCCCATCCCCGGCATAACGAAATAATATTACGTGAAATTAAATTGCAATGGAACACACTGGTCTATCGCAACGGTCGTAAAATTCACCGCAAAATATTCCGGCTACCAAATATACGAGACGAAAATCTAATGTATACGTACAACATTATTATTAATTTATTTCGCTTGTATCCTATGTTAACGGCACGTCCGTCGTAATATGACGGGATATAATGGACTTAATATTTGATTGCCAAATCAACAGAGCGTTATAGACGGATCACGATTGTCGAACACCGAACTACCACTATCATACTAAGCCGTGCGCATCTTCTCTAGCAAATTTTTGTCACGCGCAGTAACTACAAGGAAACCTGCAGTCTGCAGCCATCGATTAACGAAAAAAATAAATCAAATTATCAAACTAGAACCTACATTAAAATATGTATTTTAATGTGAACTGTCAATCGAAAGATTTTTCTGAAAATGTTGACGTTTTGTCATCGACATTTGAACGAAGAGTTGATAAGTTATTCTGCTTTAAATACTGAGTATAGTAACCTTTTATGCATGAGCGTAATCTCGGAAGGTGCACGGAATGCACTTGCGCCTCCTTGAATTTTTGCGGGGTGCAATAGGTACAATCATTTGGTACCCCCACTAATCGAAAATAAACTCTGATTTGTTATGCGAAACCACGTCAGGTTTCCGAAAACGTCTCTTAACGTTTTTTGTACAAGTGATATTCACCGCTTATAAATGGGAATTGTGATACGACAAAATAGATTAATGGTAATATTAAGTGAATACGTGATCACCAAAATCGTTGCTATGTTATCAATAATCATTAGAGGCAACGGAGTTATATATACTTAAAAAAAAACAAAAAAGCGCTTAAATCGTTAAAAAAAGAACTTCAAAATATTTTAAAAAGTAAAAGTAATAGAGTGGTTTTAGTCTCACCTTTAATGGTTCTAATTTGGGAAACTTTTAAACCCCTCTATCTTTATTGCTCCTTTAAATATTTTCAAGTGATTTTTTAGGCCTTTTTGACATTTTTAAGCGCATTTTGTGGATTTTAAGTGCATATAAATCCATTCCCTAGGGATTATATATAGTCTTTTTGAGCCGTTTTACTTACGATAGTTTATATTAATATGTATTATTAAATACACTGGATTTTTTTTTTACTTATAAATTATTTTATTACTTAGGTACTTAAATATCAGTTTTGCACCCTCTGAATTCCAACGAAATTTCGCCTATGATTTTATAAAGATTTGATATCGACTGTAGTTTCGTAGGAACCGTGTACAGGCATTTTCTTTTTTTGAATCGTGCAGTTATCGGAAACCTGATTTTTTACTTTTAACCTTACTACCTTAGTTAATAGGTACGACAAAATTTTCAAAAATCATCTGATTAACAATTTTGATTAAAACATGTGGCCTCTCGTTTGAAAAACCAAGGTTAGTTCCACCACAGGATTTAAAATCTAGCTCATTTTATTCTACACTAATATAATTTATGAAACCCAAGCCCATCTAAATTCAAAAACATAAAATAAAGTCCAACGGGCCCTGTTAACTTGTGATAAATATGCGGTTCGGTCCGGTCGTATTCGCCAATGGACCGGGCTGAGTACGGAACTGACTCGGCATATGTAGAACTCTAATAAACACAGTTGTGACCTGACTTGATCCATTTCCCGTTTTATGTTCACATTTTCATGGCCCTTTCCAAAAACGTGATTACGAATGGACTGCGGAGATATGGTGTTGTTATAAAATCTAACCTTCCTAATATTCACTAAAATACCATAAATATGGAGATCTAAATTGTGCACACGTTACACTGCAGAAATGTGTCGTTGTAAAATAGGTGACGGAGTTTTCTTATTAGCATACAGTTCAAAACGAAAATTGAAATTTTAAAAACAAATATCGACGATAACAATAGTATGCTATATTATATTATAGCGTATTTCGTTTGATGTTAGAAAACCATATAAAAATTTAAAATATCTACTGCTGATGCCAGCTTTTCACCGACAATGGGTGGCACACCCATTAATAGCATCAGCTATTTGTTTAATATTATATTGTCATCTTGTTAAATCGTCCGTTATAAAGGTAAAAGTTTACTTACGTATACAATAACAAAACTGCGATCGACAACGACAACCCATTCGTCACGGTTAAAACGGCGTACACGTTTCTCACAAAAATGTTTCTCAGACGTTTGTCAGCAAACTCGCCCGGATAATCAACTTCCGCACCGTTCATGACGCGGCAACTACAATAGCTACTATACCCTATTTATCAATTATTATTATTCAGTTGGACGTTATTCGAGCTAAAATGCGCCTACGAATGATCAAAATCAATGAGATGTAATCTATTTAAAAAAAAAAAAAAATAATGAAATTTTATTTTTTGTCTAGAGAAATATACCTATTAAAAGATAAACTGGACGGACGGAGTATACAAATAACCAACAATAATAAGTTCGTTGATCCATACATTTCTCACTTTCCTAGTGATCGTAAATTTTTCAAAAAAAAATAAATATTATTAATAAACGAGCGTGTGATGCATGAACAATAAAATTTGTAGTAAATTGTTGTACAGATCACCACCTTTCCGTCCATTCCCCAAACCAATGGTGTGATGTAAATGTATAATCTTTTTCCTTGGTAAACAACCCTTTACAGCATTCTTCCATACTCCTTCCACTCTTTATCATCCCTGTTATGGGCCTGTTATCTCTGTTATGTTAATATACGCAATTAGCGTATATTTATCATTATCCTTTCTAATTTCTTCTCTATTAGAATTCTCAGATTTAATATTAATACTCTTGTAAATGTTTGGTAGACTGGGATAAATGATGATAAGTCAGTCAAAAGAGGTCAATCACGAAAAAAATTCGTTTCTGCTCCACCGTTCACTATTTAATAGGTTATTCAGATTTTCATACTTTCAAAAAAAAGATATATGTGCATACTTTCAAGACATTTAAATTTTATATTTTATTTTTAACGTTAAAAACCATAGTTAAAAGTCTCAAAAATCGATCAGAAAATAAAAAATTATAGAATTTAACACGAGCTATTATCCGCGAGGGCATACAAACAAATGGGTATATTAGGAAACATTTTTCGATATTTCGACATTTCATTCCCAAAGCATCCAAAATGTCGACTTCAGACAACGCTAAAAGTACTAGGCTGGGTCAAATGTCCGAGTTACCTCCCCTCCTCCAAATGACTTCAACCCCTAGATGGATCAACATCGCGCCTTTCTAGTTATTTGGTATAATCGTACATAAATTATAATACATACAGTGCAACTACCATAAAACTTCGATCTGTCCGGCGAAAATGATCATGTGAGTTAGTAACCGTTTGCAAAAAAAAAAAAAAACATTAACGTCGGTTAGCAACAACATTAAATACGGTGTATTTACAACATAAACGTAAGCTTTTCAAAAAAAATGTGTATTCGAATGGCACGCAGTAACCGAGGAAATCGGAAAACAATTTGACTGATGGGAACCACTGCAATCGCCGCCGCCATATTTGAAATTCGTTTTTCGACGAGACGGATTCTTTTAAGCTGTAACGCCCGATTCGATTTACATCAGGAAAATGTGAAAACAGGTTCATCTTTTAATATGGCAGGACGGGTGAATAAAATAAACCTGGGTAGACTCTGGTATATTTTCACGCGTAGCCCAGTAAGTAAGTATGCCATATGCGTGAA